TTCAATGACTCCGACCTCGATGACTAAAGCAAAATCTTTGTTTACTAAGGATTCACAATAGTACAGGAGAGGATTAGGGTCGCTGAAAAAAAAAAGGTTAACTGATTTTTAAATAATTCAATTTAATATTGGGAAAAAGTCAGAATTCTGACTTTAATCTCTGAATTCTCACTGAATTCTGACAGCTAACAAACATGTTAGCATCAAGCCATAGCCATGTCTGTTTTAGAGACTAAACTAGCTCTCTTGTTTTAATCAACTTCTGCTCCTCTATTAATGAAATAGCATCTCCAGGGATCCCTCAGCCACGTAAAAAGTTGCCTAATTCCATTATTTTCCACCAACGTGTCACTGTTCCTCCCAAACAACTCACATCTTTGTCAGTGAAGCTAATTGCTCCCACATCTTCATGGTGCCCATCTACATTAAGACCCAACATTCTGAGAAAAAAAAGTCAATTCTGAGATTAAAGTCAGAATTCTGACGTTTTACCCCGTATTAAACTGAAATATTTAAAAATCTGTTTACTTTTTGTATTTTTTCAATGGCCCTATTCCTCTTCTGTACATTAGTCTCTACCGTAGTAGAGCTTATTCCTCCTGAGGTCCACTCTACAGTAAAATAACTGCATCATAGGCATCACAGTGAAAACAGAATTATTGCATAAAATTTTATCATTAGTTCAAATATTTCAGAAAATGTTTAAATCGGGTTTCCTTCATTAAATCAACACATCAAATAAATTAATACTATTTTATTACATATTGCAGGGTGACCAAACGTCCGTATTTCCTGGGACATATCCGTATTTCACGTCCTGTCCCGGGTTTTTTTTTAGAAAGTGAGGAAATATCCTGATTTTTTTTAAATTACCTTAATTGGACCATTAAATTTAGAGGCGCTAGGTCACTGTGCACGACGCTGCGTCAGTACGGGCAGCCCTGTTCTTAATCAGAATATAGATTGCGTGGCTGTCAGTACGCCAACAACATGCAAAAGCGCAAATGTATGTTTACCGATGATTTACAAAAGAGTTTCCCCGTTATTGCTGTTGACTTTTACTGAAAAGCATTTTTTAATAAATCAACAGTAAATATCATGTTATTGTAGGATTACGTAGGTCTATGTTAGGTGAGTTCATGACACAGACCCCCCCGCGCCAAGGTGTCCTGGTTTTCCCAAATGAAAGTATGGTCACCCTAACATATTGCAGATTTTTTTTAAAGATTATTTTTAAGGTTTGCATTATGTTCAATTTAATTTATTTATATATTGCCAATTCACAACTGGTCATCTCAAGGCTCTTTAGACAATTCAACCAGATCAGAGAGTCAGATTAGTAAAAAGTTTCTAATTTTTGAAGCACTTAATCAGACATATAGAGAGTATTCACATCATTGGATGGGAAAAGGATAATTTCTTTTAGACCTATAAAGTAGAAGCCCTAAACAGCTCGTATCATGAACCCCAGGAAGGCTGCGAGTTCAGTCGAAGTTCCAGGAAAGGTACAGCAGGTGTATCATCCTATGTGTTCTGACATTGACAAAACAGAGCTCATAAAATTCAATTCAGTTTATTTATATAGCGCCAAATTCACAACACATGTCATCTCAAGGCACTTTACAGTTCAACCAGATCATACAGTCAAATTGATACAAAGTTTTATATCTAAGGAAAACCAGTTGATTGCATCGACTCATTGACTCAAATACAATCCCTCACACTAAGCATGCTTGTAGCGACAGTGGAGAGGAAAAACTCCCTTTTAACAGGAAGAAACCTCCAGCAGAACCAGGCTCAGTGTGAGCGGCCATCTGCTGAGGCCGACTGGGGTTCAAGGAGACAGAAGCAGAGATACAAAAAGCAGCTGTAAAAGGCGGCCCCGTCCAGGAAACACACAGCCAGGCAGACGAGCTCCAAGCCAGCTCCCATGCCAGAGGACGAAGAGAGCACATCCACCCAGTCACAGGACTACACTGGAAAACAGGCCGATCTCCAACATCTATAAACAAGGGTGTTGATGGAAGCAGCACAGCTGATGTTTCTTTCCAGGATGACGTCACAGCCAAACAGGAACAGACGAGGCAAAGCTACTCTGAGGAAAAGCAGAGAGAGCAGAAGGTTAGAGATTGAACAAACAGATTCTGCAGAATAGGAGAACAGAGAGAGAATGAAGCAGAATGATGAAATGGGGGTCCCTATGTCCTCCAGAAGTCTAAGCCTATAGCAGCATAACTTTAAAGACAGATAACCTGAGCCACTCTAACTATAAGCTTTATCAAAAAGGAAAGTTTTAAGCCTAGTCTTAAAAGTAGACAGGGTGTCTGCCTCACGGACTAAAAGTGGCAGTTGGTTCCACAGGAGAGGAGCCTGATAACTAAAAGATCTGCCTCCCATTCTACTTTTAGAAATTCTAGGAACCACTAGTAAACCTGCAGATTGAGAGCGAAGTGCTCTGTTAGGAACATAAGGAACAATCAGATCTCTGATATAAGATGGAGCTTGGCCATTTAAGGCTTTATATGTGAGAAGGAGGATTTTAAATTCTATTCTTGATTTAACAGGAAGCCAATGAAGAGAAGCCAGGATAGGAGAGATATGATCTCTCTTTTTCATTTTCATCAGAACTCTGGCTGCAGCATTTTGGATCAGCTGAAGGCTTTTAACTACAGTTTGTGGACTTCCTGATAGTAAAGAATTACAATAGTCCAGCCTTGAAGTAACAAATGCATGGACTAGTTTCTCAGCATCACCCCTGGACAGGAGATTTCTAATTTTTGCAATGTTCCTCAGATGAAAGAAGGACATTCTAGAAACCTCTTTGATATGGGATTTAAATGACAGGTCCTGATCAAAAACAACACCAAGATTTTTTACTTTATTATCTGAAATCAGTTTAATCCCATCCAAATGAAGTGACTGGCTAATCAGCTTCTTTTTCAGAGACTCTGGTCCAAAGACCAAGAACATTTCACACCCTGGATCTCAGCTGTTTGAGCTGTTGCATTCTGGGAGGCCTGGAAACAAAAAGACTGAAAACAGTCTTTTTTGGAGACCCATCACCATCTTGAACTCCCATCTGTAAAACTCCAGTCAATACAGCATATAATGTGCATTATCACTACTGCTGCTCTGACCTATTCCTTTATCAAATGCAATGCAATCATCAATGAATATCTACTACAATACTTCTTAATCAGTTATTTTGACGTAGTTTTTTTTTCTATCTTTGTGAATTAATTCTCTTGCTAAAGTATTTCTGGTAGCAGTTCTGATCTTTTTACCACCGAAAGCAGAATAAGCTCTATGATCTAGTTGTACGTTGCATAATGATAATAAAGAGCATGTCATTTAGTACATGTATATGGGTTTTATTAAGATATATTTCAGTAAGGAAGTTGAGAATATCCCATTAATGAAAAACTTTTTTTTTCTCAAGAATATAATTTCATTTGTAAACAATACATCCATAAATGTTTTACAACTAAAACGTCTACATGATGCATATAGGTACATAAAGCATGTATAGAAAAATAATACTAGTCTGAGTACATAGAAAACAGTGCAATAATCACTTTTAAACCTGGCTCACTAAAATCTCTCTCGAGGAGGTAAACTCACTTCTTCAGGATGAATAAACAGCAAATTACATGACAGGAATGAAAGGAAAATATCTTAAAATATTGCGTTTATAGAGCCCCTCCATACAGAGTTTTTTCTTTTTTTTTTTTTGCAGTTGAAATACATATGAACTAATATAACAGGAAATATAAACCTAATATTTAAAGATAATGTACTTCAGTTGTTACTGTTAAATTGCTTTGCAATCATTTAACGTGGCTGAATGAGATAATTACTTAGTTCATTACTTATTTTTTTTTTTTTCTGGACCATACCCATCAACATCTGTGTTTTCTGATCCATAGATCAGAATAAAAGTTGCGTGTCATCAACATAGAAATGTTGCAGTACAGCATAATCTGAGCTTATGGTACTTTTCAATGAAGGAGGAACCCTTGAGGAATCCCACATTGTTTAACGACCAAATGACAGAACAAAGTCTCAGTCTGGCAACAAATCAGTTTAGCATTGTGACCCCCCTCCCAAATACTCACTTATACAGATGATAATGTCTTATGCTACGTTCACATCGCAAGCAGCAGAAGCAGCAAAAACGCGCATCTGCTTCATTTTTGATGCTTGTACAAGTTTAGATCGGACGCACGGCTGAAGCATCTTTGCTGCTCTTGCTGTGCGGTAGAAAAGTGGATCTGGTGCGCGTTGGGCAGAGCTCATCAGTGGGTAAAAATTTGTTTTAAAATGTTTTTAAGTGAGAAAGTCCACCTGAAAACATCATCAAGATTAGAATCCTGCCTTCAAATATTAATTCGCTATGGGAACCCTGAGACCCCCGTACACTGACGTAGCTCTGTCAATAGGAACCGACATCGACAGCAGCCTCTGGCCTCGTCGCCTCTACGCAGTTTGCCGCTACTGTTCACGACGGCTGTAAGAATATATTAGCATTTTTCATGTATGTAATCCAAACTGCAGGCACCAGAAAAATAAAATCGAACATATTTTGCCAGCAGGCTTCAACCATTTAAGTTAATTTAGGCGTTAATAAACTGTTTCAGTGGTGATCTTAGCGAGCTGCATCAGCAGTGCTGTGTCTGTCTCCCTGCCAGCTCCAGATCAGCTGCTCTGATTGGTTGATGTGGCTCGTCAAACAGCAAAAGTACAATTTTTCCAACTCCAGCACCTGCTCTTCTGAAGCGCGTCGCGTGCGTCAGATGCTCAGAAGCTCATGAGGCGCTGCTTCAGCTGCATAGACGCGCTGCGGGACCTTTTGCTGCGTCAAGATGTGTGTCAACCATTGACTTTGCACGTAAACCAACTGCTTCTGGTGCTTCTGCTGCTTGAGTCGTGAACTTAGCATTATTCTCTGATTAACCGTTCCAAAACTTTTATTTAAAGATATAAAGGACACGGTAAAAGGACACGGTATCTCTTTAGAAAGAGAGGAAGCTACAGTATTATTCAAACACTTAATAAAATTATCTAAAATCAGACAGGAACCTTTAATTCTTTGTGCTCATTTCAATCTTCACATCCATTTCCTGCTCAGTCTCTGTGGGCGGGGCGTGGTCCACTGCGAAGGTCACCTTGTTTTCTGTGATCAATGAAATAGAAAGTGTTAAAACAACAACAGTCAGCTTGAATGTAACTGTGAATCAGAGGGTTTTAATTAGAAAAGATATATGTCACCTGGTGCTCTGACTTGATACAGAGACACCATGAGGATGGTGGAGATGAAGTATGGCACAAACACCACCAGGTGGCGCCCAACCGTGTACATTAGTTGGAGGGGGCCTGAGGCACAGGGTGGTGCTTGGGATGTTGGGGACTTTACTGGTTTGGCTGTCAAAATATAACGAAAAGACATTTTAAAATAAATTATTTGCATTAACAGTGAGTGAGAACCCAATCCCCAAATCTTTGTCAGGTACATAATGAAGATGAATTTTTATCCTGACAGAAGAATCATCCTAATTAGATTAACTGCTTGGAATAACATTAGTTTTGACATGTACTGTAACAAGCAGATAATATTAGGTTTAATAAAAACAAACATACAAAATTTATAGTGTTTTGAATAATACCACCTACAGCTGCTTAGATAACTAAAACAATGCAAATATGAGCAGCAGAGTAACTGAGGTGGACCATTTAAACATATTATTGAAATGTAAACCCAGCATGTCTGCTATAAGTTCAGCATGCTGGATGGACGTTTCCTGCTCCCAGCTCTTGCACACAAAATAAAGAAAAGAGTCAGATAAAATGTAGGTGAATAAAAATTGAAAGCACTATTTGGAGATAGATTTTCTATTATATGCAACACTGAAATTATTATTTTAAGGTGCTGACCACTGCAGACCAGAGAACACCTACAGGAGCTGCAGTTTTCGAGGATGTTCTGATGCTTAAATGTCATCTAGATATCATATTTCCTATGTTGCCCATTTCCCCTGGATTAAACAAATCAATTTCAAATATATAATGTAAACTTGCTGTCCCACCACCAAACAGCCACAGTGAATTAGCGATTGGACTTAACCAAGACAACCACATCTGGTTATCAGTGTGTGCAGAGACCTTCTGAAGGGCAGGAGCAAAAACATAAAAAAAAAAAGGGCACATATAGTATAGCGCTCCCACACCACTGTAGGGGGCATTTCAATGTTTTATCTCTAAGGCGTTACTTTAGCTGGCAGTTTGGCTCCTGGGAGGGCTCTTTAGTGGAGTTTAGCACATGTTTTGGCTTCCAGGAGGGGGGAGTAAAATGCGTTTTTCATCAACTGGGCCACATGCGAGGCAACCACCATTGGTGCTCATAAATAATACTTGTTTGTGCATATTTATTGTTGAGAACTTTTGAAAGCCTTTGTTTGAAGCAAATTGGGGTAATGTTATAAATATTTAAAGATCATTCATTGTCCTATTCTGATACTTTTTAGTTTAAGTGTCAATAATAAAATTGAGCGATCAGTTCTTGTAGCAGGGATTTTCACCCCTGACTACTCAAGCTACCGACTCCTCCGCTGCAGACTGGACCAGCCTGGAGCGCTGCCAGCCTTCTGCTGCTAGAGCCTGGGTGGAACACAGTGGATTGTTTCCTTTATTCTGCCCTGATGGTTTCCTTTCCATGGACTGTGTGTGCCTATTGCTTCCTATTGGGTTGTTGAGGTCCTCAGAGAGCTGTGAAAAAGCCTGCCCTTCACGAGCGTGCCATGCCTTCCTTCCAGGACTGAGTTGACCTGGTTGTCAGGACACGGACATGCTGACCACCATTATTCTGTTGGCTGGTTAGCTTATTGCTCTGGTCCATTTTTTATCACTTTGTGAAGCTGCTACATCTGTTCTTATAGCATTATTCACCAAGCACACCCCTCAGTTCCTCTCACTCTGCCTTATTTCTTTACCGTTTCTGTTTCTTTCTTGTATTTTCTCACCTGTAACAGAGATCCAGCTGGATGGAGACTCTCCCTGACCATTGATATTACAACGGTAGAGACCTTCATCAGTCCTGGAAATACTTTGGAAGGTCATGTTGCCTGAAGGTTCTTGGCCAATGAAGGAGCCATCTTTAAAGAAATCAGCTGTGAGGTTAGAGGTGGTCTTATTCCGACAGATCAGGGTGACGTCATCTCCCTCCATCACAGGGTGGACAGGACTCTGCAGGATCACTGATCCACCTCAACACAGAGACAAACTACAGCATTTCATCCATTTCCACACAGCTTCATCAACACTAACTCCACAGTCTGATCTTACCAGTGACAGTGAGCTGGATGCTGCTGCTGGCTGCTCCCTCTCTGGACTCACACCAGTAAACCCCCATGTCATGTGCAAAGATGTATCCTATGGCACAAGAAGAAGTGTTCCATTTCCATTTCCCCCACCCATCTCCACACGTAGACAGCCGCTTGGTTGTGTTTCTCTTCACAGTCCATCCTTCATAGGTGTCTAGTTCCTCACATCTCAGAGTCACTGGGGTTCCTTCAAAGAGCTGAGTGCTGCTGTGATCCATAACCAGACGAGCTGTGAGGAAGGCAGAGAAACAAACGGATTGCATAACTTTAAAACTGTGTCTTACATTCAAGGCTGAACTGTAGTACTTCAATACTGTCCGCACAGAAATTTAGCCATGATCTGACTGTCCAGTTAATAGTCTGTGATCGCCCATGCCTTGCCACATCCTCCTGGTGTTTCTGGTGTTGTGGAAGATATCCTGGATCTTCTGGCTGTGGTTCTGCTTCGCTGATCTGATGGAACGGTTTAAGTTGGCTCGCACTGTCCTCAGTGCCTCTTTATCACCAGACTTGAATGCTTTGTGCTTTTAGCGATTTCCGAACCTCCCCATTCATCAAGGGGCGTTGGTTTTCCCGGTAGGTGATGTTCTTTGTGATGCTGACGTCTTAAATGCATTTTTTTATATAGGCTGACACAGTCATGGCATACTCATCTATATTTATCTTGTTGCCATATGTTGGTGCATTTTGAATATATTCCAGTCAGAGCAGTCAAACCCTTTTTTTATTTTCTCCATGGTACCTTTGCTCCACACTCTGATATCTACCAACTACCAGTTTTAGTCCGTGAGGCAGACACCCTGTCTACTTTTAAAGGTAGGCTTAAAACTTTCCTTTTTGATTAAACTTATAGTTAGGGTGGCTCAGGTTAATGGGAGGTATCTCTATAGTTATGCTGCTATAGGCCTAAGCTGCTGGAGGACATAGGGACCACTTTGGTTTAAAAAAAAAAAAAAACAATTCTGAGTGTTTCACTGCCAGACAGGAAGCATGACAAAAAGAAAAACAACACTTTTTGTTTTTTTTTTTAGGCCATGAAGGTTTCAGAAGCAATTTCCGCCTGAAAATACACAACAATTTTTTTCTAGTATAACTACCTTTACAGCAGTTTTTGTGTCTGATTTATCTTTGATTAAACTTTGTTTAAGCCTCTCCTAAAGATTTTTGGTTAAATGAACAACTCTGATTGTATTTATCAATAACTTTACTATAACAGCAGCAAATTAGGACTGAATCAGGTAGAACATTTGAGATAAAAAGTGGTTTTAGTGGTGCGGTGTGCCAGTTGGAGCTGCCATTTTGCACCATTTTCACCAAATATCCCAAAACAGTAGTTAAAAGGGTTTAAATGAGAATTAGGTTAAATAAAAGCTAATTTTCTTTGTAAGCCTATGACATCAACTGGGTTCAGAGAAATTTATAGAAAAAACTTCTACTTTTATAGCATCTGTTACGCACGGAAATTGCAACTCCTGAAAGCTTTCAATTAAGCTTTTCAATTCAGTTTATTTATATATAACGCCAATTCACATCACATGTCATCTCAAGGCACTTTACAGTTCACCAGATCATCCAGTCAAATTTATTCAAAGTTTTCTATCTTAGGAAAACCAGTTTATTGCATCGACTCATTGACTCTTCAGCAATCCCTCACACTAAGCATGCTTGTAGTGACGGTGGAGAGGAAAAACTCCCTTTGAACAGGAAGACACCTCCAGCAGAACCAGGCTCAGTGTGAGCGGCCATCTGCTGAGGCCGACTGGGGTTCAAGGAGACAGAAGCAGAGATACAGACAACAACTGTAAAAGGCAACGCCATCCAGGAAACACACAGCCAGGCAGACGAACTCTGAGCCAGCACCCATGTCAGAGGACGAAGAGAGCACATCCAGTTAGTCACAGTCAGAGAAACAGGACTACACTGGGAAACAGGCAGATCTCCAACATCGATAAACAAAGGTGTTGATGGCAGCAGCACAGCTGATATTTCTCTCCAGGATGGAGTCACAGCCAAACAGACGAACAGACCAGATGAAGCTACTATGAGAAAAAGCAGAGAGAGTAGAATGTTAGAGATTGAACTAACAGATTCTGCAGAGTGGGAGAATAGAGATAGAATGAAGCAGAATGATAAAATAGGGGTCCCTATGTCCTCCAGCAGTCTAAGCCGATAGCAGCAGAACTATAGAGATAGCTCAGGATAACCTGAGACACTCTAAGTATCAGCTTTATCAAAAAGGAAAGTTTTAAGCCTACCTACTAGCATCAGTTTATCTCAAGCTAAGCTTTAGGGGTTGGGATTAGGGTTGGATTCTCATCAAGAGAGCAGAGATGATGGTTCCTTCAGCTGCAGCAGATTGTCCAGGTCCTCAAACCTTTACACAGTGGTATGGTTGGAGTCCTTAACCCTTAGAATTGACTGTAACCATTGTCAGTATTTCTGAACCTGTTCTTTAACTTCTTTAGATCAAACACATGATGCCTACTTCACTCTGTCCATCTAAGTAATTTCTTGACTCTATAGGTTTGACAGATCTTGGGTCTCTTAAGACACAATGCAAAACCAACTACGCCACAGCTGTAGAAACTGAACTCGGCATCGACTGTTGTTATTAATGATAATCCTTCATATTCGATGATCAGAAATGTAAATAAATCAAAGCTGTTTTTATTTTTATTTCAAATATCATTTATTGTGACACTGTGAGGATGTGATACCTTAACTCATTGGAGGATCCAGATTGAGAAGTAAGGTCACTAGGACACTACCTGTTTTACTATTAGAGTTTCAGGTCCATTTTAGCAGAATGTGGAACAGAAGTGAAACCAAACATAACTTAAAATGACAATAAATCTTAGTTAAACTTAATTATGATGATGCAAAAAGCTCCTGTTACCTAAAATTAGCAGAGGAAATATTTACAACCAGCATCATGTGGTATAAACCCTAATACAGCCAAGCATTGTGACCAGCGTATACATTTCCTGTAAAATGTGGTCAAATTAGTAATATGTTACTGACCTTGGTGTGTTGGGCTGCACAGCAGTGAGGTCAGAACTACAGAGAAACAACAACCGGTTAATTCAAGCTGTTTAATGAAAAAAAAAATAAAACCTATAAAAATATGGTTTTACTCACATAGCAGACGCAGCAAAAGTATTTCCATCTTCACTAACAGCAGAAATGTTTGAAGGATGAAGGACGGGTGAGTTCACTCAAACAGAAACCCTCCCCCTACCGCTGTGGTCTAACTTACACTTTTTTTTTTTTTAACAAAGCAGCAGAAAGCAAACCTGAAACACTGCAAGTTAATCTGAGTTTAATCTGGACATGTTTATGTGGCTTTTTACCATAAGGAAATTAAGATTGTAGAAAAAAATAACCAGAAGCAAAACTAGACCTCTCTCTCTAAGGTGAGTAAAGACAACAGGAAGTGGAGATCACACATTGCACGCTGTTTTTGTTGCACATCAACCTGTGGTTGTAGGTTTTATCCTATAGGTGAACCTGTTCCAACTTAGTAGAGGAAAATAACACTAAACCTGCATATCTACGAAATTCTGATCACCTTTACAGGAAATAAGCACAGAGCTAATGAGCTGCTGGAGAATATGCATAGTTGTGGATTTATTGGAAAGACTTTTATCAAAGTTTTTTTTTTGCTGTTTGCAACAATAATAAGACACAGTCTAATCCTGATTTCAAAAAGATTAGTTTTGAGACGCATGTATGCTTATGCAGTGTCAGCCATTCATTTATGTAGGTAGGTGTCAAAGACTTCACATGTGGTTTAAAATGACTTCCTGCTGAACCCTGCATAGGAAAAAGTTAGACATTTTTTGTTGTTAGTAGGGCAGGCTCAGCATTTTAAACACACAGCAGAAACAAGAAAAAGGTTTGCTTTCAACCACTAATCGCATATATTGATTAAAATGCATGAGAACATGTTGCTGTAACTCTTTGCACAGTTCTATTCCGTTCACCTTCTTTGCAGATGATGTGAGTCTCTTCACCCACAGATGTGCTGTGCAGCTCGCTTCACTAAGGTGTGACCATAAGGTAGCTGCTCTCTAAAGCTGTTACTGAGTAGTGAGCCTGATTTCTCTAGAAGTATGGGGGAGTTTCTTCACCTCCACCAGCGGTCGGCTGTAGTTATTTTTATAGATAGAAAACTCTTTGGAAACAGAAATGGTCCAGTTATGATAAAAACAGAAATTTTTGCATGCAGAGTAACTGCTACTTGAATGTATTGATGAACTGATGATGAACAGAGTGAGCAGCATCGTAAAAGCAGGAGTTTAGGCTGTCACAGCTACCATTGTGTTTGGATAAAACACCTGGATGGGAATCAATCAGCAGTGGATTAATGATTTAAAAACTATGAGAAGTCCCTCATTCTACAAAGAGATATTATGTATTTTAGAGCTTCTTGTACAGGATACTAATGTCTCATCTGTTCTTGGCTTGTAAAATAGGTAAAGTTAACAAAATGTCTCTGTGTTGCCCTGCAATAGACGGCTACCTGTCCAGGTTGCACCCATCTTTGCGCCATCTTTGTTCTTCCTCGTCGCCACAACAAAAAAGACCAAGATTCTTTGCGAGGAGAGCTCTCCTAAAGCATTGTGGGATACCTCTCCTTGTTTAGATGGATGATCACTACTTTCCTGCCATCTTTGTGACTTTAACCACAACCCCAGGTATACAATTGAGGTATGAAGTAATAACAGTGTAAAAACTCTATTTTGTGGTTTCTGTTAATTCTTACAGGGGTTTAAACATACTGTCATGAACTTGGTGCTGATGACTGGTTTAATTGCTAATTTCATTCACCTTTTCAATTCTGCATGGTTTTCTCAACACTGCTCCTGCCTCTATTTAAGGAGTTTGGTCCAAGTCGTCAGCACCAGATTATTCTTGAGCTTTCGGTGTGTGAGTTTTCTAGCTGTACTTAAAGTGTTCTGATTGCCTGATCCTGATGCGTTTCTGACTTTTAAGCCTGCCTGCCCCAGTTCTGATCTGTTTGCCTGACCTGTCTTCGGATTTTACTGGATTCTACTGTGGACTGAACTTGGATCTGCCTCTTGACTTTACCCTCTAGATCGGAGGTCTTCAACAGGGGGTCCGCGACCCCTAGGGGGTCCACGAAGGTACTGCATGGGGGTCGCGAGGATTGATAGAGGATTGATTTGGTTGATTTGATTTTTTTTTTATATTCCCCCATGCAATTTTTTCCACTAATTGAAATGTATTTAAATCCACATTAACATGAATTCAACACACTGTAGTAAACAGATAAATGGAGGCAGAAGATGTCTTTCAGTCATCATTGCACACATTCAGCGATACACAGGAGCTCTTTCAAGCTGGGCACCGTTTCATTCACAACACCTGTCCCATCAACCAGGAATCAGAAATACTTTAATAATCCCAGGGAGGGATTACTTTAGTTACATTACTCCATCTGTAATAGAGTGACTATAGGACCAGTTTGATATAACACTATTTCATACAATACATATAATTAGGGGGTCCCCGCTCCATCTCGCCATCAGTTTTGGGGTCCTTGGCCTGGAAAACTGTGAAGACCTCTGCTCTAGATTATCTTGCCTTCCGCCATCATCTACTCAGATCAGATTTCCTGTCAGTTCTGTGTCCTTTAAGGCTTTGAACTCTCTGTGCGGCAAGCGCTGCGTATTGTCAGCTGCACAGCTGCTATCAAACTCCTTCTCTGGGCACGGACTGAACTCTAAACCAGGTTAGTGACTCTCGTGTTCAGATCATCCTCCGTCAGATTTCCGTGGTCACTAACCTGTGTTGCCTCTCGCCAGAGTTACCTGCCTCAGACGCCCAAGCATCCCCAATTTCAGTACTCGAGGGCCACTGTCCTGCAGGTTTGAGAGGTTTCCCTGCTTTAGCAAAGCTGATTATGATGATTGCAGTGGAGCAAAAGCCTTTTAATGAGCTTTCAATTAAAGCAAAGAAATCCGTAAAACCTTCAGGAGAGTGGCCCTTGAGGACTGACTTTGGGGATGCCCGCCCTAGCCCCTGCTGCTGCAGATCAGCAAAACCATCGTTGTTGATTTTTTAACGTTTTTTAAGTTATCCCATTGTCTGTCTTGCCTGAATACTGGATCCCTGTGTTCTGAGTCATTACATGGATACTACAAAGTTTCAGTTTTTTTCTTTTTTTATTTTAATCAGTCTAATCGGTGGAAGTATGTATATACAGTAAAGCTGTATGTTTTAATCACCTTTAAAAATGTCTCCACACTAACTTGTACAGACAGTTTCCACCATAAGGGAGCGCACTCTCACAACAACTTCACAGATAATTATTTTATTTCTTGCCTCCTGGCACCCCCAAAGCAGTTTCCCCCTGAGCAAAGAGACACATAGACAACAGGAAAACCAGCATTGAAAGTGTTAAGAAACTAAACTTCTAGGCAGTTTTTCATTATGGATCCTTAGACAGTTTATGGTGACTTATCACTGCTGTTAGTAATTATGATATATTTATGGTACAATAAGGCATGCATGTATAATTATTGGGATTTCAAATAATAGTAAAGTAAATCTGTATATAACATACATGAAGCAAACAAAGATGGTTTCTTGGGACAGGATTTTCTAATTTACCGGCAGCAGGTGCAGCTCAACCACATACTAACTCACAGGAAGTCAGTTAGAGAACTGGGCTTCCCCTGGTTGGTCCTCTTCAGCCTTTTACACGGAGCTCTCACTTGTCACTATGATGAAGGTGTGAGAGAAATCAACTTTAGTATAATTTGATTAAACTAACAGATGAACCTCATTGTCATTCTCCTCTTCATCAGCTCACTCCATCTCTGCACCTAAAAAGGTCGGAGAAATCAGACCTAATAATGACAGCGGAGAAAAAAAACACAAAAATTTAGTCTGTATCATTTTAATTTGTCATGTATTTAAAAAAATGCAGCATGAAATGTCTATGTTAAATCAAGGTCAACTTTAGGGCGTGATGGTAAAATACAGAAGCTGTAGGGCTGTGTGGTTTGTGTCCAGCAGAGGGCGCTCCAGTAAACTGTAACTTCTTTAAGCAGAGCAGAAGTTTGAGCAGCAAGCATTTTTTTGTTTTCCTATAACTGACATATCGAGGAGTATCTAGCAGCAGTTCCCTGGTCTCATCACCACAGACTCTGTTACCATCAGAGGCTGTTCCCCAGATTTATACAGTGAACATTCTGATTCTCACATCCTCACTTCACTGTAAGAGCTGCTACCAAATAGGATTTGGTAGCAGGATTTGCAAACTCAATATATTTATAATTCCATCTGTTCACAATAAGGTAGCCGTTTAGTATGAAGGTGTTTTATTTCCATGTGAAAAACTTTGATTGTTATTATTATTATTTTTTTTTAATTTAGGTGTATGGATATTTTTTCCCCTGAAAAACTTGTGTAATTTGTTGGGTTTTTGTATTCACTGTAGTGTAAATATGTACTTTAATATAAATGCATTTTATTTCTTTTTATTTTATTCTAGCATACATAATGCAAGATAAATCCCACCTACTGAGACAATCAACTATGGCCTCTGTTGGTCACCATTAGGCTCCGCCCACTATCAGGATTTATGACTTTTCAGTTCATAAATCCTTCACCTCTATTACCCAAAAGTTAATCTCAGAGTAGAGTAATTAATTTACACGGATTATTTTATATTATTTTAGGACATTTTTCATATCATTATTCTGATATGTTCAGGATGATGAGTGGGTTCCAGACTATGGAGAAACTTCAATTCCCAATGAGATATCACAGCTGATTTGGCGCCCCCTATAGACAGCATATAAAAGTGTTTATGTGTAACTAAACCCCTACCCTTACCTTCCATTTGTTATTATGACCTTTTAAACTTAAGCCTCAAATGAGGGCTTTTGAATAAACTATAAAATAACAGCTCACACAGGGCGGCCTGTAGTAGTCTTGGATTTATTTTATTACATTTAACTTTAAAAAGATAGAAACACACGTAAATATCGTCTGTAAAGAAAAATAAGTGTATGAAGTTTTGAGGGCAGATTTTGGCTTAGAAAATATCCAGAAAATTAAAATATAAACTTTCTCTTCCTGAGAATTGAAGCTTTTTAGAAGAGAGGAGGAGAGTTGGAGGAAGAGTTTCTGTTTTTATTGTTGTCACGGTGAAGGGGTAAATTATTCATTTTAAAATATAAAGCAGTTCCTCTAAACTTGGGAACTTTGTGTTTTCTCCTTAGACTTACTGGAAAATGAAGGAAGAGGTAATATCAGTGTATTGAGCTCAAGAGTTTTAAACTTGATGAATTGGGACGAAAATACTGAACAAACATTATAATCAGACTGATTAAATTAGTTTTACTTTGTTTTCATTAAAACACATGAGCTCGCTGAAAACAAAGTAAACTAATTAAGTCAGTCTGACTGTAATTTTGTTTTTGTTCACATCCGACAGGGGACCCAGAGGGAGACCCAAAGGGAGACTCAGGACAAACTAGAGGGACTATGTTTCATGGCTGGCCTGGGAGCGCCTTAGGGTTCCCCCGGAGGAGCTGGCCCAAATGGCTGAGAGGACGGACGTCTGGGCCTCCCTACCGAAGCTGGTACACCCGCGACCCGACTAGGTGTGTAAATAATAATCGTTTTGTATCGATGCATCGATCCAACAGCCGACGATCCGATGCATCGACACGTCTGCAAGAGTATCGGTTCATGTTTTTTCTTTCCTCTGGTCTATTTTTATCCACTTGCTCCTGGACATAATTCTGACTCCCGTGCTGCGGTGGTGCTAAACCTATTTTGCCCTCCTACCTCGCTTCCTTTAGCCACTACCCTCTTTCTGCATGTACACACACAGTCGTGTAAACAGTAGGCAAGACAGACATGGTGGAGATAGCGGAGGTGAAAGAAGAGGTAGGCAAGACAGACGTGGCAGAGGAAAAAGAAGATGATGTATTCTTGAGTATCGAAAATAATCGAATCGTTGGGTCAGGAAATCGATATTGAATCGAATCGCCATGACGGGTGGAATTTACACCCCTAGACCCGACCCCGGATAAGCGGAAGAAGATGGATGGATGGATGGATGGATGGACGGACGTACCTCAGCTGCTTTGATGAGCTCTGATAGCTCAGTGTGAAATACCAGACTGTTCTCTACATCCAGTCTTTTCATCTGCTTGGTTTGGATGTGTGTCACAGCTGAAGGTGAACTCAAACCTTTAAGAATAACTTGCTCTTTGGTTAAAAAAAAGGGTTATTTTTCAGTTGAATCCTCACAAAGCAAAACAGATCCATTTTTATCTTACTACCTAAGAAATACAATATTTTCATGTACCACTTGCAATGCACTTTCAGACCACTAGAGGTACGCATACCCCCAGCTTGGAATCACTGGTTTGGTAGATGAAAAAAGTAGTGCACTTGAAATTTCCCAAAATGAGCCTTGAAAAGTAGTGATCATCCAAGGTCACTAGATGACCAGATCTATCACAGAATGCTTTACTAAAGCTCTCCTCGCAAAGCATCATGGGATTTTGGTGGAGAGAAACAAAAAAGATGGTGCACGTACCGTGTGGGGAGGCAGAGTTATGCGACCAATGGGGAGGGAATATTAGTGATCATCTGTTAACTGAGGTCACTATAAAGTCCACTATGTAGTCCCAGCGCTATATAGTGATGGAGTGGTTAGGGCTGATGTTCGGACACAGCCCACACCACTTCCCCATGGTGTGCACCACAATAAAACAGCTGTGTCATGTGGGCTGAAACCCAAACCAGCCCCTAAACATAAACCCTCTGTTTGCGCGTTCCTGCAGAGGGTCTGCCACATTTAGTGCTATCTCAAACCACAAAGTAGATCACACAGCCCTTAAAGAGCAAGTCTACATTAGTGCAGAGTCACTGGAATTTGGCAGCAGGTGTAATGGTGACCTAATGGTTAAGAAAAAACAAAATGTAAGTTTCGCTGGTTTGCTACAACTTCGTCCCGTTTATAGAAAATCCCAAATTAGGTATAAGAAAAAAAATTTTCATTCATTGTAAAAGCGAAGTTCATTTTTGAAGCAGTTTTATTTGCTCGTATTTGTTTTAAGAAAGGTCAACCTGCACCACAGAGCTACAGCCGTGCAGTCGTTGCCATAGCAACTTGGAGTCCTTGGAGCGACTGCTTTCCTTTTCCGTTAGAGGGAAGAGGCCATCACATTGTTGTTTATAAAAGATAAGGAAATATTACAGAAAATGTGAGGAAACAGACTCATGAGCGACAAATAAAAAGTTAATTTACACGTTTCATTAATTTTAGTCTGGATTAAGCTTAACCTCGAAAAGATTCCCTCAGTCTGCTGAAGGAAAGCCAGCCCACAGCATGATACTGCCAACAAATAAACAGTGAACCTGGAGGAATTATCAAAAAACAGTTTTTATTGAGCGTAATACTACAGCAGCTCTTATATTTGTTTTATTATTAATAAAACATCAAATACAAAAATAATACAGGTTTAGATTTTTACATTCTTTTAGCATATATCCTAATAGGATCGAACAATATCTCATATTCCACAAATATCAACATTATGCAAAAAGTAAACATACACTCCCACTAATTTTGGTAAAAACATCCTTTAGAAGCCAAATGTTTCCAGAAGAAAAGTTTTGCAATCAGACACCATTAACATCAAGCTGATTAGCATCAGCTTTAAAACCTCAGAATATTATGACTGTTAGGCACGGTGGTGGCAGCACAACTATTAATTGGGGTGCACATATATATATATATATATATATATATATATATATATATATATATATATATATGAGACTGAGTGTTAAAAAGTTCACTCAGTTAAAAAAAAAAGTTAAAAAAGACTGGTTAAAAAGTTCAACAATAAATTCAAGCTCACAATTTAATCTTCCAAGTTAAATATTTACTTGTTAATCTACTTCCCCCCTAAAAAAACAAAACGAAACAAACAACTAAAATAAATTATAAAAACTCTAAATTGTTTCATTAAGCAATGACACAGGCCACAAATCTAAGGTAAAGTACACAAAAAGAGGAAACTATAAGAATATCTATAAACTGAAACTACTGCTATTATGAAATCAAACATGCAGAAAACCCAGACACTGACTATCATTCATTATATGTGTTATCTGTGGAACCTGGGATAAAGCAAAAAATTAACTGCTGAACATTAAATGGAATTATTTCACCTGTTCAAGCTAAATTGGCCTTAGCAATAAGCTCCTCTAAAGTTTGTTTTCAATAAACAGTTTGAATTTCAAGAAAAACATTCTTTTAAATCAACCTATAGCTGAAAACCAAACATGGCTGCTTATAATGTAGATATAATTCAGATAGATCTGTGGTAATGACACGTTCAGATACATTTTCTGAGAATTTGATTTTCTTTTAATAAGCAACAAACTTGGCAACTTCTGCTGGGTTTAAAGGGGTAACACTGATTGGGCTGAAATGGCATATTTGCTGTTCTATGAGCCCTAATGCAAGCCCGGTTAAAAGCCCCAGAATGAAACGACAGGTTTTCTTCCTTTATGGTATGCTCATGAACATTAAGATGAGCTGTGAGCTGACTGGTTGGTTTACAATGAGCAAAGCTGCTGAGCAAAGACGCATCATAGCAACAAGCACTCACTCACTGAAACATCAGATTGTTTATATGGTAGGGTGACCAGACGTCCTCTTTTTCCCGGACATGTCCTACTTTTCATACATAAAAAAATGTTCGGGGCAATTTCTAATTCGTCTGGGATTTTGGTCGACTACAGTGCAGCAGAACCGAGCCGTCAGCTCCGGTCTGGTACGGGAACCCCGGCGGACAGAGGCAGGGAGCCAGCGGGGGACGGATCGACCGAAGCCGACCTGGTGACGGTAGCCTGGACAACGGCTGCCCCAGGTATGCAATTAGTTAATTGCAATTAGGTAATTGCATACCTGTCACATGTTTAGAGCAAATGAACAGCTGAGCTTCAAACTTTGTAGGGATCTTCTGATAGACAAAAATAATCCATGCCTGTCGAGTCTTAGGATCCTTTGGAAGACTGTGAAAACGATCTTCTCTGTACGTCCATTTCACCCACTGAACTATCGTTATTATTCAATGACAACGTAAACTCGGTTTTGCATTCTATGACCCCTTTAAATGCATGAAAAGCTAAGGGTTAGCCTCTTGTGAGCTTGGACTGACAGCAAAGACTTGGATTTAAAAACATTGGTTTTCAAAATTATTTTCCGCTTTTCAATCATTTTTCTTGAATTTAATAAAAACACAACAATAACTCCTGGGTGCAACATTCCAGATGAAGCACCAGTTTCCTGATCTACCACTGGAAACCAGTTTATGGGAATGCGAAGTCACGGTTTGCTCCCAGTGAGGAAGATTCATCTCTCCAGCCAGTTACTGGAAGCTGTTGGAGGTCACGGGTTGGCTCTGGGTCCTCCTACCGAGGAGTAGACCACGTCTGGGTCTGGTTGACTCTCTGGAAGAACAAACACACACTGGTTCTGTTAATGGGATTGTTAGAGAAATATGGGTCCACATTAAAAGCTGTTAGACTATTATTTATAAAGTGAGAATTCATACTAAACAAAAGCAGATTTTTCAGATCAGATTATCAGTTTACTATTGACCTTCTTTGGCTTCCTGTAAGTTTGTATATCAGTGATACACGAGAAAAGCTCCAATTGGAAAGTCAAACTACTGATGCAGATTTTAAGAAGAGAAGAACCTTCCCGAAATCCTCTGGTTTGGACTCATATACTTGTAACACTTTACAGCAGGGGTCACCAACTTTAAGGCTGAGGGCCACTTTTTGGTTCCTATGTCATAGGATATCAATACTGACCTATGAACTAGAGGAGTCGGCGTTCACCTGAACTTCATAGATAATAAACATATTTCTATTGTTTCTTTTCATTTTTAATTTGCTTTTAGATATTCTCATGAAATCCATATAAATCCTCAAATGTTCTAATTTATTGATATGATAAAATGCTTCATAAATCCTTCAAAATAAGAGCTTCAAAAATGACATTTCAGATTGAGTCCACTGGTGAATTGTTCTGTTTTCAAAAGATGCTTGGTGCCCCTCGGTGCCCACGGGCACCACGTTGGTGACCCCTGCTTTACAGTAACCATCATTTATAAATAGTAAAGACACCATTTGTAAATGGCTAAGAGAAAGTTCATTAAAAAAAGATAAATAGAACATATCCATGTAATGGAAACTAAAATCAAGTTTGTTGGTCATTACACCCCCTAAAGCAGCAGGTGGAGCGGCAGCCTCTGACTCCAGTTCTCCAGGGCTGCAAATTTAAAGGCATACTATGCAACATTTTTCAGTTAATTAATGTGTTAATGTGTTAAAAGTATGAAAATTGATGAAGATAATTGAAATAAAGATCAAACTGTTAGGAGGAAACTCGGAGTAGAGTTTAGGACAGGATGTTGACACATAGGAAGTGACATCAACCTGAACAGTTATATCCGTAACAATCTCTAATAGTGCTGCAATGAGACCACGAGCATAAAGCCTACAGCTTCAGGTTCCTTCTTTTCTTCAAGCGGCTTTTGTGTAAAAGAAATATATGGAACCACAAACATCAACTTCCACAGATCTTTTTTTTTTTTTCGCTCATCCTTCCAGGTAATCTAGATATAGACCAGGGGGATGTATATAAAGACAAGGAGGGGGGAGGCCATCTATTTCTAACCTCTACCAGCATAGATGAGGTGACCACAAAGAAAAAAACTCCACCTCTAAAGCTATGATTAGAACCAACGACCACATGTCTTCAGGCGGCCAGCTGGCGTCTGCAGGAGGAAGCTGTACTTCTACTTTATATTCTAATTAGATAAAAATCCCCCATAAACTGTCAGGCTAAGAGTGAAAATCAGAAAATGACCTCTTGGTAGTGCTTATAGCCCAGAGAGGTAGCATTATACTAAGTATTATTATTTCCCATCATCACTGACCCTGATCAGATGTCTACATAGTGCAACTTCCTCTTTTTTTTTTTTTTTACTTTTTTTTATTTAGCGTTAAACCTCCAGCTGACTGAGTTTCTAGTGTTAAAAGTGAGATTGGAAATGATAGTCTTGAGAGGTCCGCGTCCCAGAGGTCTCAACATGAGAAGGAGCATACCTTTTTATTGCTTCTTGATCAGTTTGAGTTTTTTTTTTTCCACTCAGTATATTTTTGATGAATTTTACCCACAGATAAGTAAGATATCTTGGCAACTTTATGAAAACCTTTCTGACTTCTTAAAATGAGTAAAATCTATTTTATTTTAACTGTTTATTCATGAAGAAAAGAAGCAGGTGAAAAGCTAATCTTGATCTATTGAGGCACAGCAGCTCTCATGTGTTAGATTGATATTCAGTTCTGCTTTTTTCTCCAAATTATAAAAGCACTGGGGCAAAGTGTTGGACCTTTACTTCATGAGCAAAAAAACTGATCTTGCTCTCCATAGAGATGGAGGGAATCTATAAAATCCTTTCACCTAAAGAGAAATAAAATCATATCTTAGAAAACAAGCAGAAGAATTTTGATTAAATTTTGCATAACCTTGCTCAGTAGACAACAGATTGAAAGGAGGAAGATGAAGGGTTTAATAACAGCAAATGTATAGGTCATGGAAAGGTCATGATAATAATTAACATTGGGGGACCAATTTCCATTTGGGTTTTCTATGCAAAGCCTAAAGGCTCTAGAACCTCTGCAAACCACACAGAAAAGACATTTAACAAAAAAAAAACAAAAAAAATAACATTCAACTTGTTGAGCAAAGAACCGGAAAAACTTCTGCTTCAGTCCCTTCTCTTTTAGTTTTAAAAAGAAAAACCCAAAAAAGGAAAGAGGAACCGTCATCGTTAAGCAATCTGTCTGCAGAAGTAGATGCTTTACCTTTTTCTTTGGCCTTTGACTTCTTCTTCTTTTTGATGATTATCTCCCCATAAGTCACTTCCCCTGTTCTTATGGTTGAGTAGACTATAGATGGATCACCGTCTGTAAGAAGAAGGAAATATAAACTTTACTTCCCTCCACACAGCTGCATAGTTTTAGAGAAAATACATCAAGCAGTCTATTAATCATTAATAATACATCCAAATATGTCAACTTGAAGGAAGGAAATCAATTAAATAGAACAAATATTAGTTTTGATGTTTAGATTAAAGGGCTGCATGGTGAGCAGTTAGCCTTGCAGCAAGAAGGTTTCTTTGTTTGATGCCTGGCCTGAGTCTTCCTGCATGGTTTTTGCATGTTCTCCCTGAACGTGCATGGGTTCTCCCCAGGTACTCTGGCTTCCTCCCATAGTCCAAAAACATGACAGTTAGGTTTATTCGGTTCTATGAATTCTCCTTCGGTGTGAGTGTGTTTGTGTGTCTCTGTGTTGCCCTGCGACTAGCAACCTGTACATGGATGGATGGATGGATGGATGGATGGATGGATGGATGGATGGATGGATGGATGGGCTGTAAAGTGTTGGTGGGGTTTCAGTATTCCTCATGTTGCCCCAGTCACTCAGTCCTGAACGCGTGCTGCTACTGCTACTTTAAATGAGTGGTACTTGTGGAAATTGGAAGCAATGAAAGAAAATGATAGCTTAACAAGACCATTAATTTGAAATATTAATACAGGACTGGGGGGGCGGGATGGGCACCACTTGGACAAGGCACCAGTTTTAGGGAAAACCCCAACATCATGAACCTACATTGCTTCACTAGCGCACTCCTGTTGCATACAAAGGCTTTAAGATTGCCCTTTTGGTTTACAATAGTTAATTTCTGTCTTTTAAACATATTTCCCTATTCACTTGTGACCATTTTACCAGAACTAGACCAGGCGACCAGAGTTATGATATAGGGAATGTCAACAAGTCAACAAAGAAGTAGCAGAGGCAAGCAGGTCAGCATATCCTTAGTGGAGATGTGGAGAAAAAAGGTAACATATTTCAAGATAATGGAAAATAAATGCTCCTTCCATTGGTAGATAATCTGATTCACCTGCTCAAATAAAGAGCAGAAATAATCCTTTTAAGAATGTTTTATGTTTGGCTATGCACCATAAGATGGTCGCCACCAGGCTCCAAAAATGGTGACTATTGCTGCGTTTCCATTAAAAATGTGTGCAAAAATATGTCGAAATTCTGCTAATTTAAAGAAATGCTAATATTTGAGGGATTTTCATTAAATTACGAATACAATTAAAAAGCAGCAGATTTAAACACATTAGATTTCAGCAATGCCATCATCCTCCTTCCTCTTCTTCATCTTTTTACAAGGCAGTAAGGACCAGCTGGAGATCCTTTGACTTCAGTGATATGAAAAAAACGTGTTTTTATTGTGAAAAATTACAATTTTGATATGAGAGAAAAAGAAAACAAATTATCAAAGTTTTTTTTTTTTATTGCAGTGTTTCTATTTAGAGAAGTTGTTTTTGGCAATTAAGATTTGCGCAATTTGATGGTTAATGGAAATAAAACTGGAGACTGAAAACAACAGAGGCTAAAAGGTCACCCACTGGTTTGTGAATCATTCTCACTGTGATGAAAATAAAAAGGTCGGAAGGGAAATTTTTTCTCCTCTCATGGACTTGCATCATAATTCTACGCAATTATAGTTAGCCAATAATTATGTGGCAACTGTGGGTCCATATGTAGACAGTTTTGTGCTTCTTGTATTAATTTACTTATTTTGTTGAAAACAGATAAAGGTTTGAGTTAAATATATCCTCTTGTTTTTCTATTTTCTGAAGAGTTCTGGTGATCGGTGCCTTTTTTTTGGTTCTAACCCCTGTCCCCCAAAATGCCCGTGCAGGGCCTGCTAGTGAACTTCACATGATGGAGGATACACAAACAAAGGTCCTCAATATTCCATGAACACTTTACCCATCAGTTCAGATTAGAACATAGATTAACTTTAAGCTGTTTAACCCATCCTTAACAGGACTTTAAGGCTGGAAGAGTTTCTGGTTCCTCTAAATCAACTCGCTCTAAAACGCTCTAAAATCTCACCATGTTCTTGTCTGGGTTTGGTTTTCTCTTCTTTACTCTGCTGTATTTGGACATGGCTGTACGTGACTTCATCCCCCTCTCCTCCTCCTCCTCCTCCTCCTCCTTCGGTAGCTAAAAATGAACAAAGTTCAGTTTCAGGACTATCTGAAAACTCTCTGTGGATAAAATGGCTGAGAAGTTTGTCTCACCTTCAGGTTTGTTGTGAACACGTTGTCTCACCAGTACGACCAGCACCACCAGGAAAACCAAAACACAGACACATGCAGTAGGAACCAATACTGGGAAGAGAACGGTGGAAGAAACCAGAGCAGTTGAGTTTGTGGTGACAGAGATTGTGGTGGTTGTCCCTAGAAACAAGATGGGAACTAAATAAATGACCGACTGTTGATGCCAACACCCATAGATGAAGGATTAGGTTAAACTCCTCACCTGTGAGAATGGTTGTGATGGACCGAGAGGTGGTTGAAGGCTTCTCTGTGATAAAGAAAAAGGAAGATAATGGAATCAGGGGTAAAAACTTTTATTGGATGTTCAGATATTATCTGCGTTTAGTGAAGCTGCTGACCTTTAACAGAGATCCAGCTGGAATTAGACTCTCCATGACCCCTGATGTTACACCTGTAGAGGCCTTCATCAGAGCGGTTCACATGGTGGAGGGTCATGTTACCTTTGGACTCAGTCCTGATGAGGGAGCCATCTTTATAGAAAGCAGCTGGGAGGTTGGAGGGAGTGGTCTTTGTTAGACAGCTCAGAGTGACGTCATCTCCCTCCATCACAGGGAGGACAGGACTCTGCAGGATCACTGATCCACCTCAACACAGAGACAAACTACAGCATTTCATCCATTTCCTCCATCAAACATCTGTTTATTCAATCAGCAGTGATTACTTTATCAATCAGTAAAACAGAACCAACATGGTGACATTTAAAAATACTCTTTGTTTGCTTTAAGGACAAACATTTTTAAGCTGAATGTTCATTTGAGCTTCTTCTGCACTAAAACACAAACAGGTTTACCTATAGGACTAATTTATGTTTAACACTTTTATGAGGTTTACTAGAATTCAAATACTTATTAGCAACTTTAAATAGAAATTATTATTCTTGAAACACCTGAAAATGATCCATTCTAACTTATTAAATCTTATTGGTTACACATTAGACACATAATAAAAGATGGACATTTAACAACAATCATCTTAAGAAAACTTTAAAAGCTTTAACACTTATTAAATTGTTCTTTCAGCTCTTTCCTTGAACTGAATGAAAACGTATGTGTCTGATCTTACCAGTGATGGTGAGGTTGATGCCGCTGGCTGCTCCTTCTCTGGAGGATGAACACCAGTAAACTCCACTGTCCAATGGATTGGCATAAGTAATGTTACAGGTAGAACCATTTCGTGTCCCCCATCCATCTCCACACTGAGTCCTGTTTTCTCTGGTTGTGTTCCTCCATACAGTCCATCCAGCAGAGCTGCTGTCCTCCTCACAGCTCAGAGACACAGAGTGTCCTTCAAAGAACTGAGATCTGCTGGGACTCACAGTCAGACCAGCTGAGAGGAGAATAAGGACATTTAGATAAACAATTGCTCACAATCTGTAATAAACAGTTAGATATGTCTTCTCTACTGCTCCATTATCTTAATAACTAATTAATGTCATGACCTCCCAGCAGTTTGAGTTGGGAGACAGAACAATTAATTAATATTTTATCTGAGAAACTGTGAGCCTGAATGTTACTCACCCTGACTCGCTCTGCAGCACAGAACTAATATTCCCACTGCAGAATAAAGTTAAAGGTCTGATGGTTACCTCTATGGAACAGTCTGTGGAAGGAGGATAAATTGGAAATGTAAAACAGACCAGTGTAACTTACAGAGCTGCCACAGTGGAGCTGCTTCCTCCATCCTGCTGCTGCTGATCTGAGATCAGCTCTGACCGATTTGTAGTAAATGAAGCCTTGCCGCTTCCTGCTTCACAGAGCTTTACTTCCCTGTTCATCTTAGTTAGGACATATTTCACTGACAACGTGATGAACATGCCTGTGCTGCAAAAATAAAACTTGCACCGTGGCTTTAATGTGTCTAACCTGATAAGGACGAGTTATTTAAGCTGTTGCCTTATTCAGGGATGAAGAAGACTTCAACAAAAAATATCAAAAATCATTGGAGAAAAATCCACAAAATATCAGAAGATGTACTGTTGTATGTCCTACATTCAACTGTACATCCTAATGGCAACAACTTAGACGTTACAAAAGCTTCAATATATCATACAGCTGTTTATAAATACATAAGGGTAAATTGTGCAAATGTGCTCAAAATCAGGGCTTTTTCCCAAGCTGAAATAATGAGTACACTGCAAAAACCATCTAAAAATGATAAAAAAAATGTCTTAAATTAAGTGTATTTACCATTAATTTGAGTAGGTAAATAAGATAATTTGCAAATGGAATGAGTATTTTTAGTCTTAAAATAAGATAATTAGATAATATTCACTTGAAATAAGACAATGCAATCTTGTTTTCTTATTTTAAATGTAAATCGTCTTGTTCCATTGGCAAAGTGTCTCAATTACCTCCTCAATTCAAGAAAAAATGCACTTATTTAGATTTCAACTTTTTGCAGTGTAGATAACACAGCTTGGACTTTGCTTAAAGCTTGCGATGTAGCTTTTAGATCGGTGAAGAACTACCCTTCAGCACAGAGCAGAGAGAGCCGATAAAGAGCAAAGAAGAGGCACAAGCAGTGAATTGAGGAGCACTTCCATGACAATAAACCCATGTGGAGACAGAAGGACCCTCAGAGAGCACAGCCCAGCTATGATCCATCGTTATCTGATGCACATTTTGACCTTCCAAGAAGCAGGAAGTCTGAATATCATCCACCATTAGCAGCATTATCCTCTCGCTCTTCATGTTTGAGGTGAGCTCCACATCATTCAGTTCAATTAGTTTGCATTCACAAATATTCAATTGATCCTAAATAACCCATCTTCTATTTTTCATTAAGTTGTTGTAGGTGTTAATAGCTGTAGGTAAGAAGAATCTTCTGTAGAGGTCTGTCTTACACCGGATCTGGAGAAGCCTCTGACTAAAGACTCTCTGTTGTTGTTTAACAGTTTGATGAAGAGGTTGTTCTTTGTTTTCCATAATGTTTTTCACTTTATGACAAATTTCTCTCAGTGAAATCATTTCCAGAGGTTCTAGAGGAGTTCCTAGAATAGAACCGACCTGCTTTATTTGCTTGTTGAGCTTTTTTAAGTCATTTGCTTAGATGCTTTTACTGCATCAGATGATGGAGGAATAGATCCCACTCTCCACATCAGACTTATAGAAGATAGGTAGCATATTGATGCAAACTAGAGGTGGGTGGAAAGATCTAAAATATCCATGATATTGTTACTAAATTTGCAATCAGGTCAAAACCAGTGCTGTAAAATCAATACTTAATTCAAACAAATTGCTTGAAGATCTCAGCTGAATGTAGCCTCACCGTCTGTGCAGCAGCAGACCTTTTATGTCTCACGGCCCCTTCCTCCCTGGCTGGAGGAAAGTCATTCAGAACATAGCAAGGCAGATTTGCTCTCTATTTTCTAACCTAACCAGTCTTTTTGATACATGTGCGGGCAGATTAAGTAAGCGCTGAGAACGCAGCTGTCTCTGACATGCACAGACAAGCAAAGAGAGCATTATTACTCAAGGCAGAAAGAGAAGTTGGTGGCATCTTTGACATGAGAAGCTTTGTGAGGTGCTGAAACGTTAAACCACTTTGCAGCAACTAACTCTTCAGTGCGCTGGCCTTTGATCAATTTCAAATGAACCAGATAGAAAATAAGACAAACCAACCAACTGGAGAATGGATTTTTATAAATAAAACTAATTAAAAACCTAAAAAGATTCCTTTCATTCATGATATTGGTGCTGATGACTGGCTTAATTATTAACTCCTTTCACCTGTTTAAGTCTGCCCGGTTTCTCATCACTGGTCCTCTGATCCACCTGCTCCTGCCTCTATTTATGGAACTTGCATCCAGTCATCAGGCCCAGATTATTCTTGTTCTTTCTAGTCAGTGGTGAGATGGTTTCTAGAGTTCCTTAGAGTTTCTTATTACCTGATCCTAACCGGTCCTGCCTCTCAACCATTGAGCCCACCTGTTCCCTTCCGAACGTTTTGCCTGAACTGTCTTTGGACTCCTGGATCTTTGAGCCTGCCTGTTCCTGTTCTGACCTGTTTGCCTGACTGTCTAGATCCAACCTCGTTCTCTGCCTATGGAGTGAACTTGTAAACCAGATTAGTTAATCGGGTGTTCATATCATCCTCCATCAGGTCATTAATCTGTGTTTTCCTCTTTCCAGAGTTTCCTGCCTCAGACGCCCTAGCCACTGCTACTGCCGGTCAACAGCCCGTCGCTTCAAAAAAATGCTTTTTGACTCATCCAACTGTCTGCCTTGCCTGAATACTGGGTCCTCTGTTCTGAATGGTGATACCTTCATCAGTGTTCATTTGTTGAACAGAAAAGATGCATGTTAATCTTTCACCTGGACAACTTTTCAAAAACTGTTCTATCAAATCCAGACAACCTTGGCAGTGCATTTAATTTCCTTTGCCATAGCGTCCCATGGAGATGTCTCGAACCTTTCAGTTATGAAAATCTCATCTCTGACTCCCCAGTGGTCATCTGCGTTGTGATGACAGTTTTAAGCATACACACAATCCCTGATAAGGCATCCTGTTATCATAAATCATCTGCAGTGGAGACTGGGTATTTTCTGCATGCAACTCTGAGTGACTGATCTGGGACTTCAGTTCAGTTTAAAGCTTTACTTTATTGTCCTATTGGTCATATTTTGGTTTTATTTAAAAATTCATCCATTTGTTTTACTTAACTGCCTGAACAGCATTCAGTTCATAAGCTGTGCTGCTGATAGGACATAACAATTGGAAACTGTCTCTTCCACTTGACATACATGTACGACAGTATGGCAGGTTCCTTCATAATTGCAGCTGATTTTCTTGTCTGCCTCTCTAAAGGTTGATAACTGTTGCAGCAAAACAGAGCCATTTGTGACATGGCCTGCTATGTTGAAATACTCTGGTGTTGTGAAACAGACGTAGGGTGCTTTATCTTGACCACTGGGTTGTTGACGGGTGTTACACCATAGTGCCATGCAATGGATGGCTCCCATTGGCTGTTACGGAGTTTATTATTGCCCTAGTCCTTTTCTCCACCAATTCCTCATGAACTTGTCTATTCTACTCCTAGCCCTGCTAGTAATGCTGTTTCCCCAGCAGGCAAACACAAAAAGAACAGGGCTGTCCACAACGTACTGATAATAGAGGAAGCGCATATCTATACACACATCAAATAACCTAAGTCATCTGAGGAAGTAGATTCTGCTTTGCCCCTTTTGTATGCCACATTTGCCTGCACCGACCAGTCCAACTTATTGTCAAGGTGGACTCCGAGGTACTTATACTGTATTCAATTCAATTCAATTCAGTTTATTTATATAGCGCCGAATTCACAACACATGTCATCTCAAGGCACTTTACAGTTCAACCAGATCATACAGTCAAATTGATACAAAGTTTTCTATCTAAGGAAAACCAGTTGATTGCATCGACTCATTGACTCAAATACAATCCCTCACACTAAGCATGCTTGTAGCGACAGTGGAGAGGAAAAACCCCTTTTAACAAGAAGAAACCTCCAGCAGAATGAGGAGACCACCTCGATTTACTCATCCTCCATGATCACAGATCTATGTTGAGCTCTTTTTTTGCTACAGTCCACCATCATCTCCTTTGCTTTGCCAGTGTTTAACGCCAGCCCATTACCCTCGCTCCACTGTAAGAACTCACGGATCACAGTTCTTAATGTTTAATGTTCTCAGTCCCTTTTATAAGTGTGATAGTAGAAGCATGTCAAAGACTTTAATGGGGATAATACAGCCTACATGAAGACTTAGTCCTTCATGGATAAACTGGAGGCTGTGGTCAATTTTTAGCTTTTGAAATTGTCTCGTTTTTTTCTGTCATACATCAGCTGGGATGGATTCTTCATAAACTCATTGCATGGCCTGATATGAGGCTGGCAGCTCCTTCTTGTGTCGTCTTCAACCACCCAGATCCTCCAATTCTCTGTGCCGCTATGGATTGAATACTAGTTAGCCTGAATGAAGGTACTGTTAACAAATGTAGGGTCAGTTGATCATAATCCTGGTATTTTGACAAAGGTACAATGAAAGACAGGAAATAAGTAATAATCATTAAGAGGTCAATTTAACGTGTTGGGGACAGAACACAAGTGGTGAACATTTTTCCTTAGAGCCTCACTGATTGTCTCCCAATATATGATCATCCAGCTTGGAAAGAATTCAACCAGTTTAACAAGAACAATACTAAAAATCACAAATCTGTTCCTCCATGACTCAATCAGAGGTTTGTCTTGTGCTACATTTTTATTGTTTTACTTTAATTTAATAGGGCGGCAGTGGCGTTGGGTGTAGGAATTTGCCCTGACATTGAAGAGGTCATGGTTAAAGCTCCGGCTTTCAGTGTGGTTGTGTCCTTGGGCGAGACACTTCACCTGCATTGTCTACTGATGGTGGTCAGAGAGCCCGGTGGCACCAGTGTATGCCGGCCTCCTTCTGTCAGTGAGCCCCAGGGCAGCTGTGGCTACAGTGTAGCTCACCACCATCATTGTCTGGGTGAATGACTGAATATAGTGTAAAGCGCTTTGGTCAAGTCTCCAGACTTGAAAAAGTGCTACATAAGTACAGGCCTTTTACCAATGTTTTGTTTTAGCAGTGTTTAGAGTTGATCATTGACAACAACGATATTTAAGCCTAGTATTTAAGTTAAAATACAGAATCTGAAGGTTCACCAGGGTAGCGGCGATCCTCAGGCCACAGATTATTTTTTCACTATCAGTGTGATGTTTGTAGCAAAACTGAATGAGATAAAGCATCCATGCAGCTGTTTTCCTGCATGATAGGAAAGTGGTAAATATTTAAAATGCACAACTTGTTTGATTTAACTCAGGATATAATTTGTGAAATTAGACGCCATAATCTGAAGAGGTGTAACTGTTATTGTGTATTTGCTCCTCTATGGCGTTTCTCTGTAATTTTAAATTCTGTTATAATGCAGAATGTATTTTGATGCATCAGGGATCCAGGAAGCTACATATTCGCCTTTTATTACTGATTGGATTCATTTGCTCATTACTTATTTTTTCTCTTCTTTTAGCTGTTATGTTTGAGCACACCTTTTTTTAAGGTTTATTTTATAAATAAACTAGGATTATTGTGTTCTTGTATTAGCTCTATGATTTCACTAAATAGGAAACATTTTTATGGAGTTTTTAAAAATATAAATACACGGTATTTCAGTTTTCTGTAAATGTATCTATAGCTCCCCCTAGTGGTTGGTTAACTGCTGCTTGTGCGCAGACGCGCCTCAGGGAGCGATCAGAGGATTTACAGGAAGAACAACAAGCAGGGAAGAAAAGATTACAACTTAAAAGGTTTGATTCTGTTTTTATCTACAGATAAACATACATTTCCAGAGTCATTATTTATCAGTCATTTCAGATCCGAACCGAAAGTTCAGGAGCAGTTTAACTGATTACTTCACTTCCAGATGTTTTTGTTCCTCCCGCTCAAAGCGCGCGGTTCTTTCTGCCCTTTCCTATTTAATTTGTTCCCAAACAGAAGGAGTCCTTCTTCTGCGTAGTCATAGAAGTGATATTTTGCATCTGTCTGGGATCCTTTCAGAGTGGATTATCAGTGAGACAGTGTAGAAGGGATCCCTGGGCCTGCAGTCGGTCCCATCTCCTCCCTCCACACACCGCCCTGCTCTCATGGATGCACTGAACCGGACTCTCCTTTGTCTTGTTTTGGGATTTATGGAGCTCGCAGCTGCAAGTGAGTAAAGTTTCCTCACAGTTTAAGGTAAACTAGAGAGAAAAGATGTTCTATTTGACGTTGAACAGTGGAAATATTTTGGATTTTTAGTAATTACGTAGTAATACCAGCCTGCATGCAGGTCCAGAGGACAATCTGTGTTATCAGTAAATCAATAAAAGCTTTAAAAAAAGCTCCATAGTTTGACCTTCCCTTACACTGGTGGCCATAGTACTCCACAGTAGTAAACTGCTTGAGTAAAAGTACTGATACTCAGAGTTTAATCTACTTAACTACTTGTAAAAGTAGTCAAGAGAAAGTAAGAAGTATTCACCAATGAAAATACCTAAGTAATCATAAGTACAAATTAAATACTACATATTTACATTTCTGTAAAAATATTTAGAAACCATAGAACCACCTTTTACAGATTCTACACCACCTGGAAAGAACTTAAGCATAAAAATGCCAAACAAATAAGAATTATGTTGAAAAGCAGGGATGGGCAACTCCAGTCCTTCAGGGCCGGTTTCCATTCATCCTTGGTCCAGCACACCTGAATCAAATAGTTGAATTACCTCCCGACTATGCAATCAGTTTCTCCTTTTAATTATCTATAGTATGGAGCAACAAAGTGAAAACAGTACTATACCAGCTCGGCTGTTCCATGTAGGGGCCAGTAGGGGCCAGTGGCCCCTGTAGAACTGGCCCAGGCCTCTATTATGGTCCCTGTACTGAAAATGCAATACTCTATACATTTCTAACGATATGATCTGGGACAGAAACTGTAACTTACTGGTCCCTTGGATATGTTTCATTTATTACATTTGCAGTTTTAATTCAACAATGATTTAAAGGTGTTGCATTTCCAGCTTTAGTCATAATGAGTCATCTAGAGTGTTTTTAACCTAAACTGTTTTCCTTTCCTCTTAAAAATGGAACGATTCAGTGGAAAACTGCGTTGGCTGTGAGCCTACATTAGTAATCTCTGAGTAATCTCTGCAGAAACAGGCTCTTTTTTTAGCAGCACCACCCATAATATTATCATTCTCCAGAATCTTTACTGGGCTACATGTCAGTAATATGAACATGTTGCTGTGCTTTCCTACAGAACTTTTCTGTTATTCATCTATCAACCTTTAGATCCACCAATCATTTCACATGAACTTTGGCTTCATTCCCACTGCAGGGAAATGTGACCCACATCAGTCTTTTTCACTGCAGTGCAAACGACTAGATTCTTATCTTTTCATCTCCCCAAAAATGCTGTTATGTGGCGTTTTATCCATCTTTCAATCTCCAGGCTCTAACTACGCCATCACACAGCAGTAGAAGGCAGCGCTGCATTAAAGATCGCTGTTAACAGCTGTGCTGCTTTCTTCTTACCTTATTTCGTCTCACTGAGATCGGGTCTAAATAGCTCCAATTGTTCAACAGCTTTCTATGAATAAGGAGAGACGCTGGCCAGTATACGCGTTTAATTTTTATTCATTTTTTTGATGATTTATTTTAAAAACAAAGTATTGAACATCCCTAAAATCAATAATAATCACCATTACCTCCATAAACATTGCGCTGCTGCGTGATGCATCCTTCTGTTACACTTAGATAAACTTTATTCCTATTTATATACACTATTTAAACAAAGGGCCGAGACTTGATTTACAGGTTTTTCAGCATTCAGTGTTTTACATTTTTTTTATTCAACAGTCAGCTGTCTGATTGCAATGGGGAAGAAGCTGTTCTGGAATCTGCTGGTCCTGCTGTGAAGGCTCCTCCCAGAGGGCAGCGGGGAGAACGGTCCATGGTGTGGGGGGGTCGAGGGGTGACTGATGATGCTACGGGCTCAGGAGGACATGCAGTTATTATGCGCTTTGAACCGTTCATGTAGTTTGATGGCAGTCTCATTTATGGTGATACCTAAAGTCAGCAGCAGGTGGCAGTACTGCGACGGTTATAGCTTCAACTGATCAAGTCAACCAGAAGAATTTCAGCAAAAAACTTCTAGTTCCCACCTTAGGGCCAGTAGGGGTCCCTTTAAATCTGGAGGGGACATGTCCCCCCTGTCCCCAGTCCCATGTGCGCCCAAAAACTGAGCAGAGGAAGAAAAGCCACAGCCTGCTGCTGGATTAAGAGGTAGAGCTTAAAAGGACCTCCATGGGCTGAACCACCCGCTCACCTGGAATCCACTTTTCTTCTAAGCCCTTTGGGCTAAATTTTCTGGCAGCCATCTTTGTTTATAAACAGTAAACCAGTTTGTCTTGATGCATCTCAATAATCCAGGTAGAAGAAATTAAAACTTGAGTTTTTTAGAGATTTTGGCAGCATTTACTTTCTCTGCTCCTCACATCTGGAACAAGCTGCTTGTTTTACGTTTTTTACAGTTTGATTTTTTTTTTTTTTTGCATTTAAAGTTTGTTAAACTAAAAAGTAAATAAGCTTTACTTCTAAATTTCCCTCCATATTTTAAATTTCCTCCAAATGTCTTTCCTCTTCCCTCCATTAAAGACATTTCACCCCAGCGCTGCGTGTCCTGAGGCGACACCTCACACCCCCTAGAGACTGACATGGGAGTCTGTATTAGTAACGATCACGTGATTGGGACGGTACAGGATTAAACATTAACGAGAGCAGGAGCAAACCAATAGTAATTAAAAAAAACTAGGATCGATGCCAAAAAATAAAATAAAAAGAAAAAAATCCAGTACTGGCGCCGCCATTTTGTAGTTTTTTTCCTTGAAGCATACACTATAATGCGAGTCAAAAGAAACTACACGACCCAAAAACCAACAGTGCTTCCGCTCTGAGTTTTTCACCCGCGCTAAAAAAACAACAATGGAGGGACCAACAGTTAGTGGTAACTCGACTTCGAAAAGTTTGATTTGCAACGCAAACTTAGAAGTAAGGACGTATCTGTAAAATCACGGAGCTGACAGGAAAGTCTCAGATATTACCGAACTTCACAAGAGTTCATTATCACGGTGTTAACACTCAATACGCCTTTTGTAAAACGCGCTTGACCGTAATCAAGTAATCGAGTACACTAGTGAGTCCGAGTGAGTGGGACTGAACAGGAGTGAAAATCCACTCCCGTGTCAGTCGCTAACACCCCCAACATGGACCGTTCTCTCTGCTGCCCTCTGGGAAGAGGCTTAGCAGCATTAATGCAGGACCAGCAGATTCTGCAACAGCTTTTCCCTGCTGCCATAAGACTGCTGAACTGTTGAAACTCTAAACAGCTCTGTGCATCACACTTGAAAACATCGTATTTGCACCTTCAACATGGCGGATTTTTTTTATAATCCCTTTAAATAGAACACAACTTAATGTTCTACTGCATCTTGCACCATATATATATATATATATATATATTGTTTTTTTTTGCACTGAACTGAACCTTTCCATATCAGTGCCTTTTGCAACATGACTTTGTTTTTTTTTCTTTTCTCCTACACTGTCTATAAATGGTAACGTTTATTTCACTGTTGTAAGTTCTATGCATCGAAATTTCACAAGTGTATACAAAATGACAATAAACTTTGTCTAAGTTTACATGTTATCTGTTCTGGCTTGCTAAAAAAATCCATTGTATGCCAGGAAGTATAATCTTTTAAGTCGTTATAACTAAGAGCAGCTCATTTTCCTAAATAGACAGGATTTTTTTCCTGGCTTTTAAAACAGTAGATGGTCTTATATACAGTAAAAGAAAAGTTTTTCATCTAAAATGCGTGCAAAACAATAAGAAACCTTATTTATATTTGTGTTTTTCTCACAGCAGTTAAAACCACAGTGGGAAAAGATGCTGTCCTCCCCTGTAAGGTGGAAAAACAGGGTGACCTAAGGGTGCTGCAGTGGAGCAAAGAAGGTCTGGGGCAAGATTATGTTTTCTACTTTAGAGATAACAAACCTTTAGAAAGCTTCCAGAACCCGTCCTTCAAGGGCCGAGTGAAGCTCCAGGATGCGAAGATGACCGATGGAGATATGTCCATCGTCCTGTCCAACACCACGCTCAGTGATGCAGGGAAATACAGCTGCAAGGTCGTCATGGAAACCGAGACAATAAAAACCATCAGTCTGGAGGTCAACGAAAAAAGTGAGTTAATAGTTTAATTTAATCCAGATTGGATTAAATGAATGTTTAGAATAAATTGATGTTCAGAATTACAAATATTTAAATATTTAAATCATCTATTGACTCATGTGAAGGAAGAGAAGCTGGGAGGTTTAATTTGATGTATTTGGAATCAGCCTAACACAGATATCAGCCATGTTAGCTGCTGAAAAAGGCCTTCAAGTAGAGTGATGTTAAAAACAGTGAAGTTCATCTACTGGTTGAATATGTGGTGATTAAAACTACCCTAAAACAACAGAAGAACTTTTTCTCATTATTTAATATAAAATTAAGAAATCAAAGCCTGGGAGGAAAAAATATAAAACATATAATAATATGATAAAAGTAGTTTCGTCTGAATTAGATTTCCCTGCCTACAGGTCAGGTTTATATTGATCAATAAAAGACAGAGATGGATGATGAAGTCAGTCTGCTCCTATGCATTTTACAACTTTTAGCAATGCTTCACTTTTTGTTTTTAGCATCCAAATATTTTCATTTTTTCCATTAAGGCAGTTATATTACAGCCCAGTGATCTTAAAAGCCAAATAAAATAAAATATTGAAGTAATAGGAGGATTATTTAGTGACATTTATGCTTTAAATATACAGGGAAACATTTTTCTGACCTAAAACTTAAATATATTTTTTCAATATCCTGCCACCTCTCCACCCAGAGTTGATGATTATTGATCTACATGCTGGTGAAGATTCTCAGTCATCCAGGTCAAGGTCATTCTCAATTCAAAATGTCAGATATAGAGTTGAGTTCAGAATATATAGAGCAGCTCAATAATAATATATACTTTTTTATTTTAACTTTTTTCGAATTATTGATTCATTTCATTTTGTGGTTTGTTGATGATCTCATGCAAAGTCAGATCAAATTTCAGCCTTGCTGTGCAATACCTATATTTACCAGGTTTTATGATGTTAATTAAACCGAGAGGCTCCTATAATATGTTAAATGTGATTAGATGTGTGTCTGCAGCACATGCTTTTATTTTGAAGGCACCTCAAAAACCAGCACTTTCCTCCTGCAAACTAATGTGTGACGGTTAAAACAGCACAATAAAGTTACCAGACTAAATGTACGACCTGCTGCCAAATCTGTGCTACTTCGAAGTTGATTAGCAAGAACACAATAGAAGCCACAACCAGGCAGCAGTGTCACTACCCAATCCTTACCTAGGGCTGGGTATTGTTCAAAAATTTTCGGTTCCGGTACCAATACCGATACCTTCACTTCGATATCGGTTCCTGAACGATACTTTTTTCAATACCAGTTTTATAAGATCAATTTGAAAAAAAAGAAAATTACACAACATAAAAAAGTCCAAATCTTGAGTTTTATTTTAAGCTCTGATTTTCCATTTACATTTTTCCTCTTACATACATATACAAAAAAATCAGTGTCTAACATTCACTGTTACATTGTGAGGACCTTTTTACTTAGCAATTTTCCTACCATGTCTGACAAACAAGCCCGTTGAATGGGATCCTACTGACAGCGCACCGCTGGTATGGGGGGGTCTGAGCGGCTCCGACAGAAAGAATATTGGAAGGCAGGATGGTAATCTGGATGAACTGACTGCACTGATTAAGTTTTCAGGTGGATTTTCCCACTTAAAAACATAATAAAACTACTTTATTCCCACTGATCCCAGCAAATATAGCCGCAAGGCAAATAAAGGATAGAGTAGCTCCGCCCAACGCGCGTCAGAGCCACTTTTCAACCGCGCAGCCAGAGCAGCAAAGCTTCTTCAGCCGCGCGTCAGAACTAACTGGTACAAGCAGCGAAAAAGGAAGCAGCAGACGCGATTTTGCTGCTCCTGCTGCGTCCAGTGTGAAAGCAGCATGATTCACTCCACTCTGGCTTTGCTCCGCCCACGAGCTGCTGAGAGGAGGATGGTCGCCCCGGCTGCGGTCCGCTCTTCTTGCAGTCAAACACCGAGCAACTTTCTGCTCTTAAATTGTTTCCGTGCACGATGTATTGCATTGCGCACTATTGGCATCAGTCTTAATAAAGTGAAGCCGCACTTTTGACCTGGGGGGCATTTTAAAGGGGTTCCACGACGCTGCAACCAGTTCACAACAGATACACGTGAGCCCTGGCTGTAGGCGTGACCACCTATGTATTTTTCCTGGATGACGCAATCACGTTAAATGTTACAGCCAATCACCGAAACTTGGTACCGAAAGACGAGGCATGTTTCGATACTCTGTAGAACCGAAGCATTTCGGTCGGTACCATAAAAGAACCGAAGTTCGGTACCCAGCCCTACCCTTACCAAGCAGGTATTCATCAACATTGCCATAACAGTGGTACTTACAGTACTTATTTCTATACTTAAATCACTAAAGAATGCTAGTACACATCTTAAAAATATTATTTATGTCTTTTCTGAGACAATTTGATGCCTTTTACATTTTTTCCATCAAACTGTATCTCTGACGTCATCATCAAACACGCTCGGAGTAGTCCGGCAAAATATGAATAAACCATGGTTATCTGCATTTTAGTTGTTTCTATCTTTAGGTTACACAAAATATACCATTAGGTAAACACAAAAGTAAAAAATTGGACTCAAAAACACTAGATTTAGGTTTAATCTATAATATTAGAGTCGTGCATAAATGATCACCTTTCAAAGTTTCAAGGGGAACTTCGTTTTTTTCCATTGGGCCCTTGATTTTATGTTATTCCATCATGTTCTACTCACCCATATGAGTTTTGTGTCATTTGGAGCCATTCTGAAGATATTCCGTTAGGTTACATCCAAGTAACGTCTTCCTATGGGCAACGACCTTAAGGCACAAACTGAACTGTTCATCATTTATTCTTTATGGTACGCCAGCATTCATAACATGTAGGCCAATCACTGTCCCCCAGACATCCGCGGTTATATTTTTTATATTTATATTTTTTAAAAACAAAGCAGCGCCTGTATGACGTCATCCGCGCGAGCCGGCTACCATTCCTTCATCCTGTCCGCTGAGCTGCTGCTAGTTTTCCTCACATGCCTGGAAGATGACTAGTGCTGCTACCACAGATGATCTCGCAGAGATTAGCTCGCCGAATGAATAGAAGGGGTAGAGCGTAGCCGCCTGTGGCCCGCGCTGCCTGTTACAACTCCAGTATGGCGCGCGGATGACGTCATACACACTCCCCTTTGCTTGGAAAAAATATAAATATCAAAAATATAACTGCGGATGTCTGGGGGACAGTGATTGGCCTACATGTTCTGAATGCTGGCGTACCATAAATAATAAATGATGAACAGTTCAGTTTGTGCCTTCAAGTCGTTGCCCATAGGAAGACGTTACTTGGATATAACCTAACGGAATATCTTCAGAACGGCTCCAAATGACACAAAACTCATATGGGTGAGTAGAACATGATGGAATAACGTAAAATGAAGGGCCCAATGGAAAAAAACGGCGTTCCCCTTTAACATTTGGCTTCTAACATTTTAACAGGGCTCTCACCACAATTGTTTATGAGCATTGGAGTGGGATGTTGGGAGCCATTTATTTATCTATATTTTAGTGAAACCTGCTCTTGTAACTTTTTTTTTTTAACTGCCTTGGGGAGTCGCTGACAGTTGTAACAGTGCATGGTTCACGTTTTCATTGCGCTTCCTTCATGTGTATTAGAGAATGGTGGCCTAGTGGTTAGGGCATAGAGCTTGGAGTCCTGAGTTTCTGAGTTTGAGCCCCACTTCCACAGACTGCCACTCTGGGTTCCTGAGCAAGACCATTATCCCCACGCTGCTCCCCGGGTGCTGCACAATAGCAGCCCACTGCTCCCCAAGGGGATGAGTTAAATGCAGAGGTAAATTTCTCCAATGTGAGATCAATAAAGTTTAATTATTAATATGTGTAAATAAGGAGATAAATATGTTTAAGAACCCTGTTTCTGCAGCTATTATACTCGTTAAAAGTATAATAGCATAATTCATAGTAATTGTAAAAGTGTTAGTATAACCAGCGTTTGCGCTGAAAGGTGCTGGAGAGGAAGCCTAGATGTCAGTCAAAGGCTCATAAAAAAATTTAAGTATCAGCTTAATTTTCAACATAGCGTTGACATTTATTTAGCCTAACGGCCCGCTATGTTTGAAATATGCTGCTGGGAATGCTGGATATGTAGACTTTCTTAGTGTATCAGGAGATATTAGAATAAATCTTTAAGTGACACATGGATCATGATAATTATCACCAAATTCTAGTTAATTCACACCCCTTTACGTGAAGCCTTGTGATTGTAACGTGTAAATACACTATGTGAGCAACATTCAGGCTCCTGGGATCCTCTACCTGAGAAGTTCTAAATGTGTGGTGTGACCTTCAATCCTCCAGGAATTCCTGCAATTCCAGCGTAATTTCTGTTAAGATGGATTTTATCTTGAATATCCTCAATGGACCAACGCCGGTGATGCTGCTTCAGATTTATCACAGAATGTAAAGCTATGGAGTTTATTAATTATATAAAAAAAGAAAGGAAAAATGCATTAATTGCTTAATATTTTTATGAGTTAAAATCTATGTAGTTACTTAATTGAAATTGACATGTTAAAGTCCCAGCCCCAGTAGAAACTCCATGTAAAGGTCTCATTTAAAAAAAAAAAAAACATTTAATATCAAATCAAACCAAATATATTAGAAAACAAATGGATGGAACAGCCTTGAGTTGATTCACGTGATCTAAAGACATTTCTGCAGAGAGCATCCATCTTTTCCTGCTTGGTTCCCCTTTTACTTTAGAAAAGTCAGTTGCAGTAAATTAAATACTGCAATAGCTAATACTACCACCTTTAAAATCCAATTATTTTAAATTTAGATGTTTATTCTATTGTGTAACTAAAAATAATATTGCTATCTACAAATAAAGTAAAAAAAAAAAAACAACTCAAAGTGGGTATTTTATTTAACTTATTTCGACTTCACCCTACCTACAATTACACTGCATCCCCACTAGGGGGAGCACACCACTGTTTTGGGACCACTGCAGTAATGAACCAATAGTTTATGATGATTATGATGTGATTTAGTGTCACTGAAAGTTGTTTAACTGTAGAAATGTAGGAGATAGAGCTGATCATCTACCACAGAGGGAGAACCTGTCTCTGTAGGAGAAGCAGAGCAGACATCTTGGGGAACATTCAGAAAAAAACCTGTCTTCATATTTTCACCCATCTCTATCTAGTTTTCTTGAGAATCTTTTCAAATTCCTGTCTCTTGTTAATTTTTCTCATTTATTTTGTCTCTTCTCACCGTCCTCCAGTGATTGTTAACAAACTGCCTCCTCTGTTTTACGTTTTCTGTCTCCAGAGGAAGAAGAAGTCAATGACCTCGGGCTGAAAGTAGGCCTTCCGATTGGCCTGTTGGGGCTTCTAGCTGCTGTCGTTGGTGGATTTTTCTGGTATCGCCAAGGAAAGAACACAGACACGCTGTGAACATCAGCCTCCATCAATTTAATGGTACAAGCTCCCATATTCCTCTGGAGAGGCCCCAATAATATTTTTTTATTTTTGCTACCATTGCAATGTTCATTAACTAATACAGAGATTGACTCCATAGGATATCAGTACAGATTGAACATCATTTTCTTTCTCATTTTGTTGCAGGAATGTTAACACGTTTGAAGTGAAAGAATCAACAATAGTCTGACAACAACTGACCCATTTATAAACTTAAAACAGACGTTTCTATCAGCGTGTCTTTACTGGACATTTTAAATGCAAGTTGATATTTGTTTTTTGGGTTTTTTTTTTGGCTGATAGACTAATTTCAGTCAGTGTTGGATCTTGATGCTCCCCTGAAACTTTTTTCTGCTGCATTTCGCCTCCATAGGCCTCCAAATGATGCATATTTTCATTTTTATATTAAAATTTAGATATTTTTGCTTTAGTATTACTTCAAACAAATTACTTGTCCTCTAAATAAACCAAGCATCGGCGACTTTGAGCCAAATACTTTAAAGGATCCAAAACTAATTAAAAAGTTACTCAAAGCACTTGAACGGATAAATTATAAAGATCAAAAAGGTGGAAAAAATTCATTTTAATTTCTTTTTCATCCATTACATCTATAACTGGATACAAATTAGAAATTCTTATGTTTATATAACCCAATAACCTAATTCCTTATAAACCTAAAATATGAATGTATTTTATTTTAAAATGCTTAATGTTAATAACATGTTTATAACAAACCGCATTCATAATGACCTGCACAGTTTATTTTGGGATTAATAACTAATGAAAGTTGATCTTTGAACATTCATAAAAACGTTGGTTCATGTTTCATCTTTGGTTTGTTACTTTTTTAGCTAAAATAAATAAATAAAAATAAGCTGAAACAGAATAATTTCAAGACATTTTTTTGGTAATTTAAACCTCTGTTAACAAGCTGGAGATGATTCACAAATATCTGACTTTTCTCTCTTCATTTGATAGGAAATCTCTTGTTTCAGATGAAGTGAATAAATGTTGCTAAAACACTTGAAGTCTTTACATTTTCCTGCAGTTTTTATGTCATATCTTTGGTAATTCCCTCATAAACCAGGTCAGCTGCAGCTTTATTAGGTTTCTCTCTCATTCACATCCAGGCAGCTTGGATTCATCTGTAGAACCTGAAGGTCATCTCCTCCAACGTTAATGTTAATGTCGTCTCTGTTACCAGCTGTTACTGAAGCTGCTGTAACATGTTTGTGTATCACAGCTCATGTACCTGAGTTCATTCTGTCTCACATGTGAAGAATGTAATTAAATGTTCCATTAAACACACTGAATGCCTGGTTCTGTTGTCTGGGTTTGGGTCAACATCAGAAGAACCTTCCTGACCTCTAACCTCCATGGCAGGTGGGAGGCGCAGAAAATGCTGACAGTTTGATAAAAACCCAAATAAATCTGAATATTTTCCCTCTCAGCTTTTAAGGTTGATTTTAAAGGTTGGCGCAGAGATTTAAACCTGTGACGTTAATCTGAATTAGTTTGTTTTAACTGAGAAGTGAAAATATTTGTCTTATTCAGTAGTTTTTCTATCCATAATTTTTGTTTCTAGTTGCTTAAAATAGTCCAATTTTAATTTGTATCTTAACTTTAAACAGAAATGTCCCAAATCCGATTGGTCGTTTAAATCTGGATACTGATTTTTTAAATCTTCTTATAGAGATTAAAATATTAATCTAATATCGTCGCCTGGCTTTATGTCCCAAATCCGATTGGTCGTTTAAATCTGGATACTGATTTTTTAAATCTTCTTATAGAGATTAAAATATTGATCTGATATTGTCGCCCGGCTTTACTCTGAACCAGAACAGAATGTTTAAAAGCATCTGGAATCCCCTCCAGCTGTTAAACAGCTCATTTCTGGAACTTTTTACACTTAACTCATCCTGTTCAGTGGGTTTCTTCAGTTCTCTCTCTGCAGCGGAAAGTTTCCATCATCAGTTAATAAAAGTTTCTGTTACCCAAAGAGGGACTAAAAATTCTACGAAACTTGGTCATAAGGTCAAATTTAATCACCTTTAATCATGATTAAATACATATTTTATATATGAGAGGCTCTCAATCACAGAATTACATATAGATGTGTATAGTTGTAAGTATGTAGCTTTTATTGTACAAATAATTTACTGTTAATCATCTTTTTTTAAAGTTTGCCTCTATGTATTTTTATCATCCAATATAAGTAGATACAGATATATGGAATAGAGTAGAAAATCCCTTTATTGACCCACAATGGGGAAATTCTGGTCTTTACAGAAGCAAAAAGGTAATAGAATAAAATGGTCACAAAAATGTAGACATCAGAAAAATGTATGAGAATAAAATATTAAAGAAAAAAATAAAACAATGTACTGTAAAGGGTTTTAACAATATAAAACTGTACACCTGAAGAATAAATAACAAATATACAGCTATGGACATTTTTACAGTAATTGATATTTAACAAAATAGCAGCAACACCAGAGATGTGCAAAATGACAGCAGCAGGTTATTTAACTGACTAAGATGGAGACTGTGCAAAATGACCACGAATGTAGCAACTTATTGAGGTGTAAATATGTAGATAAAGTTGAAAATATATGTAAATGTATGTAATGCTTCAGAATATTTTTGATTTTAAACTCTTTTCACAATATTTAAATACTCTGAACAATGTGTGGTTACACACGTAGCTTTAATCTGTATTACATTTTTTAAGACCTCCCCAAGATGGCGGCTGTACAGCGCGTCCATTCCTATGGGTAGTGCGACCTCCCCAAGATGGCGGTCCAACGGCAGTACAGTGCGGGCCGTCTACTCCTATGGGTAGAACGACCGCTCCAAGATGGCGGCCACGCTTCACGCACTGCAGCAGCCAACGCAGAGTGTATTCTCTGATTTCTCACCAACCCACGCCTTTAGGGAGGGAGATCTTCCTAGTAGAGTATGAGCGACGACTGATGAACCTGCTCTAACATTTTTAGAGTTTATTTCTTTGACATCATCAATTAAATGTAATATATATGAAGCTACAAAAGAAGGGAATGGCTGTTATGTTCTGCGGGTAAGTTTGTTCTAATTATCTGGAAATATACAGGTGCTGGTCATAAAATTAGAATATCATGAAAAAGTAGATTGATTTCAGTAATTCCATTTAAAAAGTGAAACTTGTATATTATATTCATACATTACATACAAACTCATATATTTCAGATGTTTATTTTGTTTAATTTTGATGATTACAAATGACAACAAATGAAAATCTCAAATTCATCATATCAGAAAATTAGAATATTACTGAAGACCAATAAAAACAAAGGATTTATAGAAATGTTGGCCAACTGAAAAGTATGAACATGAAAAGTATGAGCATGTACAGCACTCAGTATTTAGTTGGGCCTCCTTTGGCCTGTATTACTGCAGCAATGCGGCGTGGCATGGAGTCGATCAGTCTGTGGCACTGCTCAGGTGTTATGATAGCCCAGGTTGCTCTAATAGTGGCTTTTAGCTCTTCTGAATTGTTGGGTCTGGTGTATTGCATCTTCTTCTTCACAATACCCCATAGATTTTCTATGGGGTTAAGGTCAGGAGAGTTTGCTGGCCAATTAAGAACAGGGATACCATGGTCCTTCAACCAGGTACTGGTAGCTTTGGCACTGTGTGCAGGTGCCAAGTCCTGTTGGAAAATGAAATCTGCATCTCCAAAAAGTTGGTCAGCTGCAGGAAGCATGAAGTGCTCTAAAACTTCCTGGTATGTGGCTGCGTTGACCCTGGACCTCAGAAAACACAATGGACCAACACCAGCAGATGACATGGCACCCCAAACCATCACTGACTGTGGAAACTTTACACTGGACTTCAAGCAACGTGGATGAAGTGCCTCTCTTCTTTTCCTCCAGACTCTGGGACCTTGATTTCCAAAGGAAATGCAAAATTTACTTTCATCAGAGAACATGACTTTGGACCACTCACCAGCAGTCCAGTCCTGTTTCTCTTTAGCCCAGGCAAGACGCTTCTGACGCTGTCTGTGGTTCAAGAGTGGCTTGACACAAGGAATGCGACAGCAGAAACCCATGTCTTTCATACGTCTGTGTGTGGTGGTTCTTGAAGCACTCACTCCAGCTGCAGTCCACTCTTTGTGAATCTCCCCCACATTTTTGAATGGGTTTTGTTTCACAATCCTCTCCAGGGTGCGGTTATCTCTCTTGCTTGTACACTTTTTTCGACCACATCTTTTCCTTCCCTTCGCCTCTCTATTAATGTGCTTGGACACTGAGCTCTGTGAACAGCCAGCCTCTTTAGCGATGACCTTTTGTGTCTTGCCCTCCTTGTGCAAGGTGTCGATGGTCGTCTTTTGGACAACTGTCAAGTCAGCAGTCTTCCCCATGATTGTGTAGCCTATAGAACTAGACTGAAAGACCATTTAAAGGCTTTTGCAGGTGGTTTGAGTTAATTAGCTGATTAGAGTGTGGCACCAGGGGCCATCAATTTTGAACCTTTTCACAATATTCTAATTTTCTGATATGATGAATTTGAGATTTTCATTTGTTGTCATTTGTAATCATCAAAATTAAACAAAATAAACATCTGAAATATATGAGTTTGTATGTAATGTATGAATATAATATACAAGTTTCACTTTTTAAATGGAATTACTGAAATCAATCTACTTTTTCATGATATTCTAATTTTATGACCAGCACCTGTATTATCTTTAGATTTAAAGCCAAACTGTTTAAAGAAATTCAGTTTCACACAGAATGGACTTACTTTATGTCAAAGTTTATAAAAACAAGTAAATCGCTGTTACTATAGCAACTCTAAAAAAGTTTCACTCATAAGAAACATTTTTCACATATGTAATTATTAACTTTCTGAGTAAAAAAGTAATTTTGTCGCGGTGAGGCTGAAAGTTAAAGAAGCGCATATCTGTAATTTTCCTGCAGCCTCGTCCTGTGCAGAACGGGGATAATGATGCGTTCAA